TGGCATGAAAATGAAATATTGGCATGTAACAATGAGAAAAAGAATAGTAAAATTGTGACAATTTTTATCTCATCTCTAGTCTTTATCTTTATCGCACCTTTTAGATGTAAATGAAACCTTAAACCGATCATGCATAAAGCTACAATAATTCTATGAATCCTGCTGCCAGGAATCTGCCAATTAACAAACCTGCAGTTTTAATAATAGTTTTAATTAATATATTTCATATTCTCATACCAGAGATCTACATATTTCATATTATTACAGGTGAGGTGCCTGCTGGTTATCACCGTGTTATGTCATAATACTAATATTGGATTCTTAATACAACGGAAACTATATACATGTACAGGGTGGGCCAAAAAAAACCAATACCCAACTTCAAATCAGGATAAAAATAGTTGCATTCAACATGGTACATTGACTTACATATCATTTTAAAGGTTATACATTTCCAAACAATTTGGTATATAACACTATGTCATGAAATCAATAGTAAAGTTTCATTATACTTATTTGGGAGGCCGGGTTGCTATTTAAGGTCTCCAGATTTAAGGGAGAAAATAGTAAATCTGCGGAATTATGTTAATTTTTTATTTATAGAATATCACTCATTTGTTAGGTGAATACATGCTTGGATATTAATATTTGCATCATTGTGTAACTAAATTTATTATTAATGAATTTCAGTGTTGTAACATTTTACACTTTATTTAAATTTAAACAATTTTCACAATTGCTCAATATACCCCCACACCCTCCCCTCTGCATCAACAGTAAGCTTCAAGTGGTAGCGCAATCTATCAATAGCCTTATTGAGAGATTTCTGTTGCAATTCATTTCAGCACTTTAGGATTCTGTTTCAACTCATCAAAGCTGTTTATTGGATGCGTTTGATTGTACCATTTCCTCGAGATGGCTCCATGTATGGTAATCAAACACATTATATGTAGCATCGGGGCTGTTGGGTGGCCAAGCATCGAGATCAATAAAATTGACACCTTGTTTGCAAAGGAATGCCAATGTCTCCTGAGATCTATGGTACAAGGCAATGTCTTGTTGAAAAATAAAATCCTTGTCACATATACGTTTAATGTCTTTTAACAGACCCCCTTTGAGTACTTATTGATAGTAAACAACACTAAAATTCATAAACAATAAGTTTAGTCACACAATATGCAAATATACAAGCATTTATTCACCTAACAAAATGATATTCTCTAAATAAAAAATTACCATTATTCCACAGATTTACTATTTTCTCCCTAAAATCTGGATACCTTAAATACCGACCCGGCCTCGCAAATAAGCATAATAAAACTTTAATATTGATTTCAGGACATAGTGTTATATACCAAATTGTTCGAAAATGGATTACCTTTAAAATGATATATAAATCAATGTATCATATTGAACATAGCTATTTTCAGTCTGATTTAAAGTTGGGTATTGGTTTTTTTTGGCCCACCCTGTACATTTACATATTTTGAGAAAGACTTGTGGATAAAGATCAAATGTCTCGCCTTTATAAATTAGTTCATCTGAAGAAAGGAATAAAGTGTTTCAAAAGATATTATACATGTATATATTTAGGTTTCGAACACCAATTAGAGTGGTACTATGATATAAGTAAATCATTAATTTGAGAGAAATACTTAAAATACTATGAGAAAGTCTCATGGAACATCTGGTGTTTTGAATTGTTTTTCAATTTATTTTATTTTTCAAGGTGTGTTAAACAGTGATATTGGGTATAAAATGGTTTATGTATCACCAACATGAAAATATATATTTTTTCATCATATCAGTCAATCACTTTCATTGAATAAATAGAGGATATCCTATGATTTATGAGTGATATGATTTTTATCCACGAATGGATATGATATCTGCACGAGCAAGCGTAGCGAGAGAGCCTCGTTTTGAGTCTGAAGTAGCAAAAATCCATAAACCATCGCATACGACGTCGTATGTCATGGCTAAAAAACCGTATGCTATGGTTAAGTGAAAATTTGTCAAAAATATCATATTTTACCACTGATTACAAAAATACCGTTTTTATTTTCACATGTTATCCTATGAATATCATGCTAACTATGGAATAAAACAGATTATTATATCACTGTCAAGCGTGCAATTGTTTGATTGGTCAAAACTAGAATATGTGTCATAAAAGATCGGGCGATCTCTAGCCACGCCTAATGAATATCTAGTGGTCCCCACTCCTGGGAATTTTTGAAACAGATTTGTTTTTATAGAGGATAATAAGCTTGACAGTAATCTGATAAAACAAATATTTAATTCTATTTTTGGAGAATGAAATATTTGTATCATATTGATGCTTCATCAGGGGGTCTCTCATACAGTTTTATTTTATTTGTTGAAAGAATCTCTTCTCGCAGCAAGCTACTGTAGCCATCTCTAAAAAATGTCCCTGAATAAAGGAAACATTCATTGAGTCTATTCAAACTATGGAATGTTCAACTGACAGAAGATCGACATTTATTTCTGGTAATTAATTGATTAATTATCTGTACAAACATTTTTCTTTCTAGTGTTAAATAATGAGTGTCGATTTGGTTGAATGACCATTGGCACTTGCATTATCACACAAAAATGCCTATTGTATGGGATTAATTCCCAGATGTAGTAAATTGTTTCTATTTTTGTGAAAAATTATTCACTTTGTGCTATTCTATTGAATTATGCAATAATGCATATCTCTCTATTGGAAAACATGTTTTTAGACATCATCGGGGATCTAGAGTTTTGAACTATATCATCTGTAATTTGAAGTCATGAGTTTGATGCTGTTTTAGCATTTTGTGCCGTTCCACTGTAATTTTTGAATGTCACGCTTGTATAATTTGTTATAGGACGGTGTTTTCAATTGTCACCTTTATAAGGAATGACACTGATTTTCAAATGTTCTTCATGTGTCAACTTTGAATGATGGTGTTTTTCAAATGTCACCCTTGTTTATTTTATTGAAGGATGGTGTTTTTCAAATGTCACCCTTGTAAATTTTGTTGAAGGAGGGTGTTCTTCAAATGTTAAAGTGTTTTTCAAATTCAAATGTATATTTTAATTGGATCTATTCATGAATGGGGATGGCACAAATATTATTGATAGATTTATCTATTGAATCTGGTTTTATGAATTTGATGTTTTTTAATTTAAAAAACATGACAATTACATGAAGTAAATCATGCATGGTATGCAATCCATATACTATGTACATAATAGAAATGTATTCTCTCATATAAATGAGGAAATAAATATTAAATATACAATACAATACAACACATAGGTGTAGGAGGTAGTATATTCTGTTTGATGTTTGAGCGTATAACAAAAATAGAACAAACACAGTAGAATAACAAGAACTAGTTTTAGTTTATTCATAATTTATATCCTATAATTTACAAAATTATAAAGCATAAAATCACATATTATATATTTTATATTATCTGCGTGATTTTGTATTGTTTTGTTGTATTGTCATTATTCCCTTTGGCTTGACATCATCAATTGCAATAAAAGTATACCATTATAGAAATTCCCAAGGCTTACTTTTCGATAAACATTCAAGGGCTAAGTATTAGGTAAAATCTTGTTTGTATAGCGTATCCCACAAGGACAAAATAAAATGCTAGTTGCATTTAATTCCATCTTATGATCTAGTGTTTTCCTTTCATTTTAACAATTTACCTCATACTGGGGTAGGCTGTAGATAGTTAGGTAGTTTCAAAATCTTCTGGTCATATTCTGTTCAAAATTGTTGTGTAGATGGATAAGGTAAACGCTGTTATGAGCGCTATTTGTTTGTTGTATTCTAAACATAAAGGGCAATGCTACATCTACCCCCCAAAAATATATAATATATAATTGTATGTTTGTATAATAAAATAAATGTACATAGCTTTTTAAGGTGGAACCCATACTGTTGGTACATAAACCAGGACATTCTCCTGATATTGGTATATTATTTAGCTGAATCGAATTGGGTTCTTCCTTTAAAGCACAACATTTTAAAACCATACTTAAAGACACATACTTTTTAACATAACAAAGCATAAATATGTATGGGTCAAATCAAAATGTCAACAGTCTATGAAAATAAAATTAAGTGTGTATCTTTTAGAAAATGTAGCTTATCACAATGACATCTTTGCTTATTTCATGTTTGTTTTTTAGTGTCAAAATACGATTTCTCATCTTTCATAATGTTTCAATGGAATTTTAATTCACGTTGTTTTTGAGAAACTAATTAGTAAATCGAGTGCCTCATTTTCTCGGATTTCCTTAATCATTTTAAGTGCATATATGACCAGTAATTTCCTTACTCATGTGCATATGACCAGTAATTTCCTTACTCATGTTAACAGGTTAAGCTTAATGATACAAACTCAAAATCTATTGTACTTATACACATTTCCAGACCTAAATAATAATACAAATATGTCGATGTTAGTATGATTCATTTTGTATTTCATAACTTATGACATTTTGATAAGACCAAGTTTCTTTACATTTTGACTTTTTACCAACCAGCTTATCCACTGAGCATAAACAACTCAAGCAATTATCATTATCAATTACTAATTAATTAATTAATTATTATAACTATTTTATTTATTTACACTTTGTACAATGTATAATTTGATATATAACATTTTGATTGGTTAGGTACAGGTAGCAGGGGTCATGAAATAAATTAGCTCAAATGTATAATACTATCTACAACATATTCTTTATGGTATTAACAACACCACATCAATTGACATACAATACATGTTTATGCCAACAAATCATATGAATTTCATAAAGGGAATACCCTTTCTAATAAAAGTAATGATTATCACTATGCAAACTAAACTCTATTTTCAGCTGTCGAGAAATATGATAATCATGTTATGTTTGTACCACATAGTAGAATATGTCATATTCTATTTTTCTAAAAGTAATTTTCCTATTGTGACATTTTTTGCTTTCAAATTGCATTTAGATTTTCGAACTTGCTCATATTTTATTCAACTCATAAAAAAGGATGATTTGGAAAATTTGATTCAAATTTCTACTGGGATGTTATAAATGATGAGATACCATTTATTATGAACTTTTAAAACAAAAAGCCTAATATTTAGAACTGCAACTTCCTTGATAACTAAATATATGCCGAAATATGTCAAAGAGAAATTGATGAATTCCGCATTCATGAATGTGATAAATGCCAAGTTCAAAAACAAATGAGAATGAGCTTAACCAAGATTAAGATTATACGGCCTTCTTAATAACATTATGATTAATAGGTATTGAAGACAACTGAATACATTTATATTCTATATTGATTTATCTAATGTTATTAGCTTTAACAATGTATTTTACTTTTTTCCCTTAATGTTTCATACAAAAACATTCCCAAAATATTTCTTAAAGCTAAAGAATATAACATTATAACTGGAATCAGAAAGCACAAAATCATACAAAAGACAATATCTATTCATAATATTGATAAAATTAACTATACATGTAGCAAGGTGTTATTTTTATATGTGATCATCACACCTACTCAATGTCTTACATTACAATTTTCCAAGGAACTAGGTCGCTCTGATATAAACCAACTACCCTATCATTTTTTTTAGATTTCTTAATGTTTTTAATTTGTGCTAATATTCAAATTGTGCAAAATTAAATTCAGTCCCCAAAGCTACAAATACAGCTTTATACTTTCAATACGTTAAGCCAACTTGGCCAATCTTAAACATTATAGCTGCTTATGATTCATAAAGGTTTGTGAAGTTTGAATTTCAAATGGTGCCCTTTGTGTTTTTAATTATCAATCAAAATTTCCTGGTGCAATTTTTAATGTTCTGGAAACATATTAAAGCAATAAACGCTCATTGATCTACAAAATTTATATTTACAGTGAACAGTTTATTTATGTTTTAATAATTCCATAAGTTGGTATGTACACTGCCCTTAACTCAGTACAAGTAATGTTTTCTCATAAATTCCACAATGGCATTATAACTTATGGATATTCCAGATATCCTCACTGTTGCATGACACTAGCCAGAATTATTTGTAGATTTTCTGTGAGCAAAATTTCTAGTCTTGATTGAGAAACGTGTGTATGATTTGTTAAGGTGATGATGTCTTCCCTCAAACTAAGGTCATTTGAGTGGTGACATTGTTAGTATGTACACTGTTATATGTCACACCGTTATTTGTTTTTTGCTTCACTTTCTGTAGTTTCTGTATGCATGGTTTAAGGATAACTTCCTTAAACGTGTTACGAAATTGTCGTGACATGATACAGTACATGATGAAATTGGCGGCACTGTTGAGTAGGATCAACATATCCATAATGTCTGCCAACATGACATAAACATTGATAAATATGTAATTACTAATGCCGCTTAACATAGCAAGGATGCCTTGTGGTAGCTCAGTTATGACAAAAAACAGAACTATTGCTACCAACATAGCCGTTGTTCGATTACTCTCATGTGTACGTTCAGATTCAGCTCGTCGGCCTTGCGTCAGTAACCGCTGTCGACGTTTATCAGCTTGTCGCATTGCGATGATTAATAAAATACTAAGCACAGTTAAGAGTACACATGGAGTCAGTTTTATGACTACACCGTATAGCCAGTAGTTCCCTTTGAGTAAACCGCCATCAGTTTTCCTTACAATCTCTGACTCGACAAACCAGTAAGCATTAGTGGAGTTGTAACTTGTCTTGTTGGGTGCCAACTTCGTAATCTCATAACTGATGTACTGTGGGATACAGATGATTGCCGTGGAGATATACACAGCAGTTATAGTGATCTTTGCCCGCAGCATACTACACATTGTAGGCCCTATACTATGATGGCAAACTATAATATAGCGGAATATCGCCAACGACACAGTTAACCACATTGCAATCGTATGACTTGTGATGCTGAAGCAATTGTGAAATAAGATGAAGGCGACCCAGTTATATGAATGTCCATATGTTTCATCAGGCCCTGTGAGACAGTAGAAGTACAAGGCAAATGGTAAATATGACATCATTGTTAGCAAATCAGCAATTGCCAACCATGTTAGTATGCAATTCACTGAATTGATCATGTTTTTTCTAGTAAGTACAATTATATTCAGAATATTTGCAACTATTCCAAGAATGCACACAAACACTGAGAGATGTCCATGGATACCTGTATACCAGTCATTAAATGCCTTTAATCCAGCCAGCCCCTCTGTGGGACCTTGGTTGTGAGGATGATAACTTGTGTTCTCCAGATTGGTTGTCACATTTCCTACATCCCCTACGCTATAAACAGCCATCATATCAGTTTGAGTGTCCGCCATGACTTACTTTGATTATTCCTCAGTATATATTTATTAAATGATATTATTTTAGTATATACAGTTCATCTACTTAGTTCCAATTCAAAATTACATCCAGTATATTTGTCATAGTATTGTGTTTTTTTGATATGTACGATAAATGATATGCCAGAGTTGTAGTCTTGTCAGTTATGCCAATTTCCCCATTGTGACTGATTACAATTCTTGCAGATTTCTATTACGCCACACGTTTTGTATCATTTGTCAATCTGTCTCATGCACATATTCATCCTGATCTTATAATTGACTGATAAATGTCTCCGTATTGATATTAGTAATTGTCTCTTTGAATAATTGTTACTTTTTTCTGATTGCTCTCATTTTTATCTCAATCTTAACCTATGTCATTTTATGGAAATCTGTTTTCCATGTCTGTGGATACAAGTTTCCTTTGGATGTTTAGGTTCAAAAATTAATGATCAGCTTACAGGTTGCAAACGTTTATATGCCATCTATGTGATCAGATTTAGAATCGTAGAAGGATCTTATAACGGCTATATTCAGCTTTGATGTCACAAAGGTCTCTATGTCATTATAAGACTTTGTAATGTTCTCACATGAAATTTTATGACAAACTGTTTTGTATCCTTATATATTCCTCATAAGGTGCTTAATTTTCCCTGTAATGAAGTTATTAAAATCTTCTTATTAGAAGGGTTTATCTCATTTCTATCCAGACTTATTTGATTATTTCCTAAAAATAGATCTTTTTTAATTTCACTATATAGGCAACTGTATATCATTGAATGACAGTGTAAATCAGCATACCATGTCTAATTACACTAAACCAGCACTAAAAGTAGCATGTTAAGGTTCCATCTTTAATTTCTGTATCCCAGTCTGCAAATGCAATAGTCGTAATTTCCGGTATTTTCTCATTTGAGAAGCTTATAATAGTATGTCTTTTAACAGTGGTTTCATTAAGTGCCTTGTATTGTGAGACTAATAAGTATCTTTTATCACCATTCTCTGTAAATATTTGCCACTAGATTGCTATAGATTAATCCTAATCTATGGTACAATTGTTGACTTCTGTCCACTTTGAATGCGTCCCTCGAGCTCCTCTACCACACAATGCTCCTCACCGCAAACCTGCAAATACAAACATCAAATCCATTATTTTCACAAAAAATCTTAATGTTGTTATGTGAATACAAGTATAATTAATAGAAAGATTTGTATAGTAGTTACTTACAGACCGTGATAGATCAATAAATACTGCACAGATTTGCCATAAAACATCCACGTTCAAGTGCCGTTAATATGTTTCCAATAAGTAATAACCTGAGAATTATTAAAAATTGCTTCCCTAAAGGTTTCATATTAGACTTATCGATAACCCCTAATTGATAGCTGAAATGATATTCTTTGCTGTTGAGGACATCAGGAATTGATAAATTACAATTGTTCTATGAACATCGACACTAACATGAGTTATATTTTGTATAACAAAGTAATTTCTTCAAAACATTAGAAATGGAAGTAACTATATAACTGCGATTTTCTGTCAGTTGCCTGAGGATTTGAACAAGAAACTAGTTGCAACGAAATGAAATCATCTTATGTTTTTATTTAAATTTTATTATATATACATGTATATATATAGAGTAAAATGTTGAGTGAAAGTCTAGAAGCTTGCCTTCCCCTTGGTTTTTAAAAAAATGCTGATTATTGTGCCATTTGAATTGATGCTTACGGTTTTGTTTGTTTGAATATTTCAAATGCAAATTTGCTGTAATTAGAATTCAATACCCGGAACACCAAATGTAACAAAGCCTCTTTTGGTAAATAAGTAGATCCTATTCTGATTGAAAACCTGGTTTTGCATTAATTTCAAATTGCTAATTTGTTATCTCACATACACACATATACATTATACAAATAAATACACATGCTACTTTCTTCATGGAAAATCCTAATCAGGGTTCAGTAACAATTTTGATCCTTTCCCTCTGATATTTATGTGAACATATTGAGCCATTTGACTTCGAAAACCTAAAGAAATATCCAATGATTATGACTTCACAAAATATAAGAAATTATTGTTTTCTGATTCTACTTCATCAAACAGCTGACTTTGGTTTATTGAATTGACAACCAGAGTTCATCTGTATGGTTACACTTTAGAAATGAGAAAACTAAATTGTTACAGTTTGCAAATGATTACCATGATTGCTTTCTACCCTCTGTGTTTTCTGACCATTTACAAAAGCATTTGTGTTGAGTTAATTTACCATCAGTCCCATTATTTAGTTGACATTTAGAAATTCATTTCTCATGTATTCAGTAATTTGAGCATAGTTACTAAAACAGAAAAGAATTTAGAAAATTGACTTAAAATAACACTATACCGAAGCAATCTAAACATTCGAATCATGTAATGGTAAAAATGTAAATCATCAAAATAAATTGTTTGGGATGGCTACTGATTGCTGGTTAATTTTAGATTGGCCCTTGATAATTTCATGAAAAATTGTATTATCTTGTTTTAAAATAACTATTTGATTAGATTCTTCCATTTTATACCCAAAGGCTCATCAGCTGTAATATTTTACTGAATGTTATATGGTTTTTATAACAAGTTAGTAAAATAGCAAGAGATTTCTTGGCAAGTATTTTCAGATTGCAGACAACTGCTTTTTCAGTGCTCTCTTGTAATCTATTGTACTATTTTCACCATTTTGTGACTTAACCCTATGCATGTAAATCAGTTCTATCTATAATGTAATAATGTCATGCTTCTCAAAACATATATTTACTGTGGCATCATTGGTTACTGTTCAGAATGATCAACAGGTAAAAAATCAGAAACATTATTTTGGATTTTGAGATTGAGTCTGTCTGTCCCACATCATCTGACTGTATGTCCTGTTTAATTTGTTCTTCGACATGTTTTGAAATGACCTCAGTATGAATGAAATACCTCATGGTGCTCGTGGTCTTTTGGATTGTGACATTGGTTACTGATTCAGTGTAATACAAACAGTAAACTCAAGTTGATTAGACTGAAGCTGACAAACATTTCAATTCACATTGATTTCTCTCGTGCATCTAAATGTCAACTGAATTTTCCTTTGAACTTCCAATCAAACACGTCATAAAGTATATGATTGTAGACTTATTAATGTGGATACAGATATTGTAATCTTAGTGAGAAGCCCTATGCTGTAGCAAGATTATTGAGAACTTTGATAAAAAGGAAAGTTCTCTATGTCATATGTACTATTCTAGATGAGTAAGCTGACATGAAACAATCCCATAAACCTTGTAATAACATGTTCCCTTTGCATTTGTTTGACTTCACTTCTTAAAAGAGAGCTTCGTTTTGTAGTTTAACTAGACTCTGCACGCAGGGCAAATAATATGTAGACTAAATACGAAACTAAGATTTTGACATAATTCCCAATTTTTTCACTTTGCACCTTTTTAGGTAGATCTGGGCTGTGGCATAAATGGTTGAGAAATAGGGATTAAAACCAGAAATAGTTTTCTCCTGTGTTTCATGGATCCATCTATTTTGTATCTGCTTTGCTGAAGGATGTTGACCCTTTGATAGGCTCATGGACTTTGAGACTGGATTTTGTGTCCCACATCATTTGTGTCCCACATCATTTGTGTCCCACATCATCTTGTTTCTCTATATTGTATGAATAAAACTATTTTTTATGTTATAAGTATTGATAATCAATTTAAATTTATTCCTCAACCTGTATTGTAATGACTTCAGTATGAATGAAATGTCCCTTAGTGTTGTAATCTTGGATTGTGACAATGGTACTGAAATGCTGGGCATCCTTGCTGCAAGGGTATTTTACAAGTAATTTAGGCATAAATGAAGTCCTTTGAAGAAGGATGATGCTGGGAGAGGAACTGGTTTTCTTCTCAAGCAGAGGTCCTATACGCCCATAAGACATAAGCTTACAAGTTATTCAAAATTATATTTTTTTCATGATGCCTTAGGGACATGGCATTCTTGCTTGAAAAGAAATTTTCCAATGAATTTAAATGACTGCTATTTTTCATGATCAATTATTTTTATAGAGGTTATTAGATTTAACCCAAATTGTAAAAGCATATGTTTTATGGGAACAGGATTTCCAATAGGACCGCTCAATTCAAAATGGCTATTATTTTTGTAGAGAATACAATTGTTGATAGTTCATATACCAGCTGTCAGATTTGGTTAATTTTTTTCAATTTACTTGGAGGAAATATCATATTAGTAGTGTGTATGAATTAAATTAATTTATTTGTTTTTCTGGTCTAAGTGATTGAATAACAATGAGAACAATAACACGGATACAAAAACATGCAATATGACAATCATCTTAATAGTTCTAATACATTTGATTAATTTATGACTAAAAAGTCTTAATTATGCTTAACAGTGTTTTTTTCAGACGATTTGATAAAATACACTCTTGGCATTCAAGTCTTTGTTTTTGTCTGTCCCATTTTTTACTCAATTCATGAGTTAACGAGTTTAAACTTGTCTATTTAGATTTTTTATGAATGGGCAGCAACCAAAGTTAGCTATGACGTGAACTACTTTACCCTAACTACATCATTATTTTCAGTATTACTACTTTGATGGTTTAATAATGTGAGTTTTAACTGATCAAAAAACCAGTCCTGAATAAAATCAGACATTTAGATAGAAATATCAAGAGTTCCATTTTCATTTTAATGACTGCCTTTTCCTTTAATCTGTCTTATGTTTCAAGACTTATGCCACAAAAAGTGCTATCATTATTTTAAAAAAGTGATTAGTCAATATGTAGAACTCCAAATAGTCCATCATTTCATAACATTTTTGACAAATTGTGCAAGCCTTATTGTTAGCAAAAAAATTGTAAACTGCTCATACATTGTACTCACATTCTAATTCTGTATGTTCCGCATTATCCAATGTTTCTTCAAGTAGAACCCAATTTGATTCATCAACTAAAATCTTTCTTAAACTATAATGACAACTAAAGTCCCTAAATTTGTTAATCAATTCCCTCAGTCAATTTCCGTATTTTATTTGTTCATCCTTTGCGACAGTTCATGGCATTATACTGCTTAAGAAAAAAGTACCATCATATTATGTGATTACATCAGGCAATTTCCGATTCCTGTTTTTTCTTCTTATCAATCTATCATTTTGTCTTTATTGGTCTGAATAGCCCTTATTTGATTCAATATATTTTTAGTGAAACATTTTTTGCTGATTTTGTTCTATAATGGCTCTTATTTTCTTTTGATTTTCTAAGGAACTACTTTAATTACTACTCGGTAAAAATTCGATGATTTTATTCAATGATTTCTTGTTTAGGTTTATAGTCTGGTATTGCTGACCTTCAAATGCTATTGTTTCTGAATATAGAAATGCTTAACTAACAATCTCAAATACAAGACTCTTGGTTTATCATGCATGAAACTTCTGAATGATGTTAGAAAAAATGACTCTGATGTTCGTAGATGGCTGTCTATATCCAATTACGTTATTGGGAAAAACAATAAAATTATCACTAATGATTCTGTTTGGCGCCAAGCATGAAAATATTTACTCAGCATAACAGTAATTACTCTCTATGAATGTTTAACGAACTACATATTCAACAATACCTTCATATTTGGCTAAATGAAGCATTACTGGAAAAATGCAGAGTTTAATGCCATGTCACATTCAAGGTATCTTCTCTGATGGCATATCAATGAACCAACATCACTTTTCAATATTTATATTTTATTAGAAATAAGTCATGGGAAAGATGAGAAATGTAGCTCCTTGTCTTTTATGCAATTTTCCTGTGATAGAATACCTATGAACAAATCTTTTTTAAATATCTAATGTCTTGTCCTAATGTAGCATACTGAAAATGTAAATTGTCAGAATGTGAGTTTCAGTTCTTTTTCTACATTGAAAATTTCCTCTGTTCTAAATGTGCCTTTCTTTATATTGTGAACTGGAAAATATGATCAGCTTTTTCATTTAATGAGTCGCCAATGCAAATCTTCCTCCTGATTGCAAATGAACCAAGTGTGGAATACTGTATCTACTTAGGGCCCTTGTTATAAAAGTGTCTGGTATCTACCAAGTCTCCCAA